AGTCAAAGATAATTAACGTTTCCGTCCACATTTTATTAAATTCAGATGCACGTCATTATACAGTCCAGAAAAATGAAAGAATCCGTTTTATCTATGAATATATGACAGCATATGTTCATACTACACTTGTTTTGAAACAGAAGATTCTGCTGATTTGCATAGTTGCTGCAACACTTTGATGCAACCACAAGATCAAAACAGCTTTAACTAAACCACCTGTCCAGACTTTTTTACCCCCTTATTTGCACAAACTGGCAGTGAAACAAACATCCTCACTGGATGAAACATGTCTAAATGAATCCACTTCCTCCTCATTAGAAGAAACACAATAGTCTTTACAGTCTTGAATATGTTTCTCAGCAAATAATAAATTAAATATATTGCACAGTGAGTGCTGAGTGCTGAACATGGGCATCTGAGACCCCCACAACCCAGAAAAGAAGATGCAGGTAAAGATGATGAATGATGGAGTTTATAGCAACAGGAGGTAGGCTTCAAATATTTTATGCGGTGCAAAAGAATCAGTGCCTAAAGGCAGAAACAAGTCCCCACTTCCTATTTCCTTGTGGCAAATATCTGGTCAGTGATCGAATAAGAGCAGTGAATCAATACAGAAACAAACAAGAGATAAAATAAACTGAATTTAAAAGAATAGGATACAGCAAGGTCATCAAGGTGTAACATGTGACAGAGTTTACAGCAGACGGCGGTGGTTTTGTAAAATAAAATATATATTCACAACCGCAGTGGGCAACCATGTAAGCAGTTCGGGTTTAGACATCTTACTCAAGGACATCGCAACACATCTGTGCCACAGCTGCTCATTACAGTTGTTTTAGTTAAGCGAGACTTTGATTGATCTGTTAGCCACAAGGTAAAGTGTTAGGCATGACTCTGCTGCTACTACATCAGATTTGAGCTTAATATCTGTACAATTGATTAAGTTGTTGCCATTTTTGTGTTTGCCAAGGTGGGTTAGCTGTGGCAGCCATCTTGAATGGGATTAACTCCACAAGTTATTTTGATGTAGATAATCTCTGAGAGTTTTGTTAAAATTTGTCCACTAGTTAATGAGTTGTTTTCCAAAAAAAAAAATATTGAGGACTATTCTGAAATGACATCCATGAAGGAGTTTTTTTTTAAATGGTTCTAATCCTATTGAATTAATCATTTAATTATTTAATCATTTGGGAAGAGAAGACGTCACCATAACAACCAAATAATAAAATAAAATTGCATGTAAAGCAAGTAATTTAATCAGGTTTAAAACTAAACTGGGGTTTTATCTACCAGTAAGGCCATGCATCAGAGAATCCTCCAGGAATTACCTTTTATGATCAGAGTGTTTAGGAAACCAAAAGAGGTAATTTCACACATCTCGGTACAAATAAAACGGCATCACTGATAATTCTCTGATTTAAAATGTGTATGTATGCTATATATGTGTGTATGTACACACACACACACACACACACACACACACACACACACACACACACACACACACAGACACACACACACACACACAGACACACACACAGACACACACACACACACAG